AATAAAATAAAATAAAATAAAATAAAATCCAGAAGGAGAGGGAAGGAGAAGTACGTCTGGCTTGGTCTCTTCACGCAAAAGTCCAGCAGACACCAACCATTGTGGATTTTGGTTTCATGTAAACACAGGCTGGTCAAAAACCGGATTAGAATATTAGGAGCTAGAAAGCCCTGAGCACAAGACGTGACACGTGTGTACAATGTGGTGGGCATGTTTACAGAGCCCTGCCACCCCCAATCTCATCCGTAGCTTATCTGTGCCTGGAGCTACAGGAACCAAATCCTAGCCAAGAGCTATTTATCCCCTCTACATCTCACCCCTGGTGAGATGGTGAGATGTAGAGGGGATAAATAAACAAAAGCAGGTTATGACTTGACTAAACAGTGTTTTTGTGTTGAGCTGGTATTTGGATTTATCCCTCTGTGTGAAAACACCTTCTCTAGTAGACATGCAGCCATTGGAATCTGCCTCTGTTTTTATGTGTAGGGGTTTTTTTTTAAGATCCTTTTAGATTTAGGACAGGATTTATGGAAGTGAAATGCATATGAGCCCTTTGTTGCTTACCTGAGTGCACGAAAAAAAGATTTACTTGGGCTGATTTGAGATTGAATTTCAGGCTTCCTTGCTAATGGTCTCCCACCTGATTTGTGTGCGACAAATAAGTCATTCAAAGCAGACAGCGCTGACAGCCGCGTTTTCTGGAGAGTCCATCAGCTCGTGTGGAGCATACAGGGGGCCTGTCCTTGCCTGTTGCAAATAACCGGGTGAAAACTTAATTGGAAATATTTATGGCTCACTTAGAAATGAGAGAGCAGAGCACAAAAATGGCCTGGAGAAGGGCTGTCTGTCCTAGAGCCTGTAAATCACGCTATGGAGTCCAAAGGGAGTCTATTGAATTGACATTGGCTTTCTGGGACTCTTCTGGGTCATTAACCTCACACTAAACCAGATTTCTGTCACAAGCTCCTACTCATGGAGAGACTAACTGCTCCCGTTTCGCCCCTCGCTGCACACTGGTGGCTCTGCATGCTCCAGAGTGGCCTTTCTCTCCTTCCCCATCAGCTCCAGCTCTCCCAGGGGAGAGTGATGGTAGGTCCCTCTGCTTCCCCCTCCTCCAGTGCTTGTCCCAGGCCAAGTGGGAAAGGTCAGGATGCTAAGAGTCCCATCACTAATGGGAATAAAGGAATAAGGAATGAAGGACATTGAGGCACCAGAGCGTGTCCAGAGAAGGGCAACAAAGCTGGGGAAGGGTCTGGAGCACAAGGGGCCTTATGAGTGGAGGAGCCCTTTCAAACATCTTATTCTCATCCAGTACAGCTGGAAAGATCTTTTGTACAAAGGCAAGGAGACAACTTGGTTGGTCCATGACCTTCCACCCATCGCCTTGTACTATTCAGTTTTCCTAACGTTATGGCCAAGATTGCATATAAAAAAATAACCCCTCCTGTGTCTCCATTTCCAGGAGCCATCTACGGGCCATGGGGAGGTTCTGCTCTCTATCAGCTACCTGCCAGCAGCTAACCGCCTGCTGGTGGTGATTATTAAGGCTAAAAATCTCCATTCCAAGCAGCTGAAAGATCTACTTGGCAATGGTGAGTAGAATAGCAAGGGAAAAAAAAAGAGACTGTTGCTTCTGGTGTTATGTAAATCTAGAAAGAAAGAGGGAAGGGTGGTGTTTGGCAGAAAATAATTAATGTCTGGCTTACAAAGCCAAAGAGATTTGAATAATTGCTAAAAAGTGAAAACCAAACCCACCAAGATCAATGTTTCTCATGTTCTCTCTCTCATTCTGATGTCACCAGCTGTGACCAGTTAAAATTCTCTTGCATTCATTTTGTTGCAAGCTCATCAATATGGTCTCTCTCTCCACTTCCTATACAGATGTTTCTGTCAAGGTGACACTGAGGCATCAGTCCTTGAAGCTGAAGAAGAAGCAGACCAAACGTGCAAAACACAAGATTAACCCTGTGTGGAATGAGATGATCATGTTTGAGGTGCCTCATGAGCTCCTGCACGCCTCCAGCGTGGAGCTGGAAATGTTGAGCCAGGATGGTGCTGGGCAGAGCCACGTGCTTGGCAAATGCAGCCTGGGCTTGCACGTCACGGGCACGGAGAGGAACCACTGGGAAGAAATGCTGAGGAACCCCAGGAGACAGATAGCCATGTGGCACCAGCTCCACATGTAGGCTCACCGTGATTACTGCCAACCAGATTTCCACCAGGCCTCTGAGCCTGGGGCTATAAGTTGCATTTCACCTTCCACCTTCCTCTCCACAGAGTTGCTTGGCACAGCATTCTTCTTACACCACCTTCTCTGATTTTTCCTTCCTCATCCTAGCCCAAGAAACTGTCTGGAAAATGTATTTAAAGGATAATCTCTCACCTCATCAAGTGGTTCTCTCAAACAAGGGATTTCGCTGCCTGGATGATTGGAATTAATTTCATTAGTCTTCCCATTGTCCTTTCTGTGAGGTCCCTGGTTCTGTAGAGGGGACCAAAGGGATCATGGAAAAGTGAGCCACACCTTGGCATTTGACACTGTCACCCAAGTCCCTTGATGAGTGGTGGCTCCATAAGCACAAACACATGGTAGATGTTTTACCAGTCACTGGTTTTCATACTACATGACAAGACTGTGAGAAATGAAGATCACAAAACTAACTTTCACTGCAGACCCAAGGTATCGGTATGAAAGAGAGAGTGAAGTCAACGTGCAGTAGATGATAACCTAGAAGAAGATATAGAACTAAGGGGGGAGAGAACAGAAGTGGAGAGGGTGAGATGACCAACGCTACCAGCCTGTGTAGGCTTTGAAGGAAACACTGCCAAACAATAAGTCAAATACCTTCCTTCACTCTTGTTTCCTGGAAAGTTTGATACCTGCTATTTAGGATTTGTGAAAACCAATGAAAACATGAACGTTTCAGGATCCTTTAGCAGAATATCTCTCTCTTCGATCTTTCTACAGTGTCACCCAGGAAGACCTTTAACACAAACAAAAGTTATTGTTGATGTTACCTCCAAAAACTTGGACCAAATCTTTCTGCTTGCTGCCATCTTTTCTGTTTGGGGTTTTCTGACCTAGAAAGTTTCAAATACTCTAATTAAATTAGATTCCAGGCAACATCTAAGACTAGACAAAAGAAGTGGGATCGTTTCATACCTTAGCAGTTGATTGATGGTTTTGGTTTGACAGTTAAACTATCGCACTCAAATCCTCATACCAGCATTACTTGAAGACAACCCTTAAGAACAGCCATGTATTTCATCACTTCCAGACAGAAGGAATTCACTGACCAGACACTCTCCAGGGCTTGGGGTTTTTTTGTGTGCACTTTCAAGATTTAATGTGGCTTAAATGTTACTGTTTACTGTCCTTTTTTTGTGTCTAGATGGACTGAAAGTCTGGCATTGGCAGTGATGATGTTACAACCCTATAAGCACAACTGCTTCTCCTACCACTTTATTTCAAGCAGTTTCCCCCCCCCCCCCCCCCCTTATTT